TTATCCCCAACTACTTAGACCGACTAATAAGGAGGCATCAGGAACATCCATCCCAATTCACACATGTTGCCGAGGTCAACGTATGCGCTGGATAGATGCGGCTGAATTTAAACGCCTCAACCTAGGTTTGTGTCTATGACGAATTGGGCACCAGTAGAGGAATAACCAACGCGTAAAAACGTGTTTCACCTTAAACCCATTACCACTTTGGTGAACAGACATCCCACCACTCCGCTTCACACCTTCAACCATAATACAGTGACCTGAACATTCCTATTGTCCTCACAATGTCCCTGATATTGTTCCTTACATAAGTAATCAGGTTCTCTTATCGGTGACCAGTCTGTGAAAATTTTGTGACATCCAACATAGTCAGTCAATAAATTGATGAGCAAGATGTGACGAAATTGTATGAGCTCTTTCAGGGCGTTGTTCATTATCGGCGGTTGTTTCCATTACTGCGTTAGACTGTATTACGTCCAGCTTTGCGCTTGAGCACTCCAAAAATACGGTGCAATTTATTGGACCAATTTGGTTTTCAAATGGCAAACGTTTGTCAGTGAAACCCAATTTGATTCACGAAGGTACAGATTAAAAGGTGACTGGAAAGTAATCAGTAAGAGAGGTTAGTGTATGCGGAGAACCCAGCATATTGACAGTCAGCTGTATGTGATATGAAACGAATTCGAGATTCTTCGGGAACGTATTTATCGTATTTGCTTATCCCCAGAACCTTAAGCATGTCCTGGTAAAGTTGCCAGTCATGGTGTCAAGTTGACTCGGATTATCACCAAGTTATATGTGAGTACCTCTCTTCATTCGCACCCAGGGTGCATTTCTCAGTGGTTCCAAACCAAATGACTTGTCCCTTTCCCCAGGATGGAGATGGAAGCCTCAGAGTGAAGCGCTAGTCTAGGAAGCATGGGACATTTGCTTGGAACATCTGATATTTGAATCAAGTGATAGTCGATCCTTACCGAATTTGTGCTCTTCTTTGCGATGTGTTCCCCCGAAATATCAGACCTTATCGGTTATTGCTAGTAAATGCATGTTCGGAACGTTGTTGTTTAGACTTCATGACGTCTTTCACCGTTTCCGCGCTCATCAACTAGATTCTGCAGAAAATAAACTATTGCGCTTTGTGTGCGTGCACCAATGAATGGGATACATTGTTTGTGCTTTCACCACACTCGTCCGGAAGTTGTATACGTCAAAATGTCTGAGGATCAAACACGTTTACAAGCCGACTTATACTTAATATACCGATTTATGATAACCAACACCAGGCGATACACCAGAAGATACGACAAATGTTTGCTAATTCTCGCTTCCTTACTCCAAATGAGACAAGTCTGCCGAAACGTGAGCAATCTTTAAACGCCGGATGATGAGGGAGAAACTGGCCGCGTCAAAAATGCTACATGTCGGATATCCATGTCTAACATGAGTGCTTGCTTTTTCGGCTCTTCGTGGGACACAAATGGATCTTGCCATAATGTGTTAGCTTGTAAATCCAAGCAATGGTTCCCAATCAGATCTCGTAGTTGGCTACTGCCTGCGGTGTCAAGGACCCTCAATTTCACTCTCGTTATTCCGTTCCAAGTACATCCAGGCGGTAATGCAAATTCTCCATGGATGTCTTTGGGTGGGTTAGGAGAAAATCAGGGAAAGGTAACGTCCGGAGGCAGTCGATGGAGTGATGGCACAAAAACCTCTTCCGAAACCTCTTAGTTATCGTGAGGAACGCAGATACGCAATGGCTCTTGTTGAGAGTTGGAAGCAATTCTCACAAGACCGGGGAAAAGTAGGCCTTATAAGGTGACAAACGGAAAAGCCCTGATAAATAAAACACTAATTATTTTTATGAAGGAAACTGCTCACAAGGTTGCTGAAAACACTAATTACTGTCTTATCCAAAGATCGTCATCATCACTTGTCCAGTCGAGTGCCCGTGCTTCAACAAACGAGTGAACCCCCAAAAAGCGCATCGAAGTTTCAGACTGGGCTTCCTACCATTAGAACGTACTAACAAAGCAACCCTGGCTAGTTAACGAGGCGGTCAGAATTGGACACGAGAAGTCACGTAAAACAATTGCAAACATTTTACCAATTAGCTCGAATATTCGTAAAACTGTGATTATGCCAAGAAAGGTGTGTGCACTTGATCAGATCGTCAGGGAGAGAAAATGCAATATACAGGGAAATTGGTTATATCCCATTAGTGGCGCAAGTCTGGAAATCCATCAACTCGCGTAGGTCTGACCTATCATGAACTCACCGGACCCATCATTAAGTGTTTCTACAGAAACACCGAAACCTAATTCCAAATGCATAGTGCGGGATCAAGTATACGGCGTAAGGTTGTTCATACTTCCTCGTGTAGTTTAGCGGATAGCCGTGACAAGGCATGCTAATTCCAACCGAGAATCATGTGGCTGTCCCATTTACACTCACCTCTTGAGTCTCAACGAAGATCTTAGGCTTCGCGTGACTGCGTTTTTCGGGATCTGGTCCTTGTCTGTACGCTTTCCATACAGTTGGAGACTGCAGTGATCAGTATAAGCCGTACATGTTAAGACTGAGCTCATCGGAACAATTTAATATCTGACGACGACGTTCGACGAGGGTGCTCTAATCAATAGGGCAGAAAACGTAGCGGTAGGCCACCAGGTGAGTCCTCGTACATAGACTGGGTGGATGAGAAGCAAATCTGAATCTCACCGCGTCGTGCAAATAACCGGATTATACCACAGGCATCATCTTTCACTCATTGTTTCACATCCTTGCGGGTGATAAGAACTTGTTCTCTCTAAATGTAAACACTCAATTTTCAGGGGATTTGATTTCACCTTGTTCGATTCTTCCTTGAATGTAGCCTGGAGTCAGATGGACTATTCATTCAGCCGTGGTACTACTGTGGTGCACAACTATCGATTCTGAGATACTGTCAGCTTACCCGAACTCAGACAGGAAAAATAAAATGCTATGTTTAGTTTTGAACCATGGAGCTTCCAGTCAGTAGTTACCCTCTGAGCTGAACTAAAGCTGTGACGTCGAGGAGTGCGGTAAGATATGCTGAAAAAACCGCTCTTCCGAAAGGCGAGTTTGTTAAAACTACCGCAAATGCAATGAATTTGACTGGGGCCATTCTGGTCACCTACTAATAAACATATTTTTGCAAGAGGACAGGCTTCTCCTCGAGGGATAGTTTGAATTCAGGCATCTAAGATAGGGATGCGCCAATTTCGGTATTTCGTAAACCATCCGAAACTCATGGTCATAAGGAAACACCATCAAACACAGCTAGTCTCCCAAGTAAATAAATAAATAAATAAATAATAATCGTTCAGCTGTAGCGCCCTTCCGGTGCCTGGCTGCCATGCCACCCGAAGGAAGCACGAGGGCTGGGATACTGTCAGGGTGACAAGCCTAGACAAGGGAAGTCGAGTGGCGGAGGTCGGGTTCGAACCACGGACCTTCCGGTCACTAAATTCGCGCTCTAACCACTTGAGCCATCTCGTCTCCCAAGTGCGGAGGATAGGTGCGAATTTGCGCACCTTGAATCATTGACTGCATTTGGCGCTTCGTACCGCACTAATAACTATGACAAATGCTGATGATTTGTTACACGACCATATTTTTCGATGTAGTTGCTTGTCCATGAATCCAATATAGAGAGATTAGTACAAAGTTGTCTACACTCCGAATAATGTATTGGTACGTGGTGTCCAGTGTAGTCTACCATTGGAGTGGAGTCAGAATAAACATTTGGTTTGAAATTCTCTGCTGTTGTTTGATGACACCGTGAGGCGACTGTAAAGGACAGCTGTTGTGAATAGCTCGGCGGAATTTCCACCTTACGATACGAATGCAACGCTGCCCTTAACTTTCGCTCTGAAGGGTCTGTCTCGAAGGCTTGTAATGTAATCCCTTACAGATGTGAAGCAGATGCTGCCGTGTCTTTGGACCAACGAAAATTAGCAAAACATTTTAGAGGACATGAACATACACTGAGCACGACCAAGTACGCCCAAGCTAAGGAGATATTTCAACACAGCCTCATTAATTGCACCGTTATTAACGAAAATGATACTTTAATGATACTTATGGATATCCCCGTGCTGGAATTTAGTTTCACCGATCCGAACTATCAGCGTGTACTGGCAGGTAGGCCAAAATCAGACCACCAGTTCGAATGGCCATGGAAACAAGTGATTGCGAATCAGCAGCTTCGACTTTTGGTGAACCAATGAAATGGGCAAGTCTCTCCATTTGAAGACTATCCTCCGTTGAACATCCAATGTACTTTCAATGCCCCACCTAAGACCATGGTAAACGTCAGGTATGCTTAGTTTAAGTTAAAATGAAAGAATAGTGATTTCAGGGTGTCCAGGAAATACGGGAAATAGCCCAGGTAAGTGAAGAACAACCATGAACACAATACACAAAAACTAAATACTGGGTCAAGAAACAAACCATTACAGATAGGGTATTTTCGTATTAACTAGCTGTTTTTTGGAGACGCAGCATCTCCCGGAAAACCGCCCCGCACAGGTCAAACAGACATCCTGAAGCTCGTGCGATTCAATACAACTGAAATGAAATTCTAGGGACCGGACACCTCCAAGGTTTAGGAGGCTGTGGTCACCACGACTTCCAGGAAAAAGAACAGACTTACGAGTAAAATACATTCAATTGTGAGTCAGATGCAAGACGGAACTTTTCATAAAATACATGAAAGAAAGATAGAGCAATAAAAATACCAATAACAAGAATAGTCAAACAAACAGTAGTGCTTGGTCGAAAAACTGAGGAACGTAAACTCTATACAAATAAAGAAAAACAATGGGTACGAAATGTTGAAAGTAGTTTTCCGTTTGAAAAGCGCTGTGGAGGCAGATCACACTCTACTACTCAATTCATCGGACCCAATCCTTTGTTCGGAGACGACGGTGGACCGAACAAGTAATGCACATTGTATGAGCAATTCACCAGGTTCATCAGTCGAAGTCGAATTTGACGTGCATCAACGAGATTATATCTTTATGAAGCGGATCTGGAAAGGAGAGGCAAGCAACGTGTATCAAGGGCTGAGAGAGAGAGAGAGCAACGATCGATAGTGGTGAGCTGCAACAGGCTAACAACCAAACAACACAGGGGGACTCGTTAATTAGCATCGTATGGTGTGTGAATTTCCAAAGTTACGCTGTTCAAAACGGGGATAGGGAGGTAGTAAGCTGACCAGATAGCCGAATAGATCGACAAGCATACGCGCACGGTCACAAACGAGTTTCTTGACAAACTGGTCAATACGATGGGTAGCGATTGCACACCAACGCGCGATACGCTCCCACCCTCATGCTAACAAAACGAACAGAGCCAACCAAGAAGTAACCGACAAGCCGGGAGGTGCAGTGAAAACGCACCTACGTGCCATACGCTTAGCGATACTGAGGAATAATTCGACGACGCCTAATGGATGATATATTCACAATAACGAGAGACAAAAGAACGCTTTTTTAGTCAGTGAATAAGTCGACCACGTGAGCAACTATCGTGAAATGCGGAGGGAGGATGGACAAACGCTACGCCGTTTCACAGTTGTCAAACGCAGGAAAACGAAAGACGCTTTCATTCACGTGATCACTGGTTCAGTTTAAGGATGCCATGAGGATTGCGATAACTTCCACTGAGCTTCATGTACTTTCCAGATGAGCAGGTGGGGGAACTGAGGTGTGTCTGTGGAAAGTGCAGCTCTACTACCATCACAATCTCACTTGTTTGGTGGGTTGCCGAAGGCAATTCGCACAGGGACATTGATGTTGTCTTAGTAATGCCCGGTTGGTACGAGAAACAGGAAACGACCTGCACGATGTGAATATGTCAAGGTGAGTCGACACAATATAAAGAAATCATGAAGAAACTTGAGGAAACTGTACGGAATTCCGAAGGGCAACATCAAGGGACACTAGTGAGTCTAAACACACGCTAAACCGTCTAACCCAATGGTTCTCAACCTTCATAGGTCCGTGTGCCTCTCGCATAAATTTACCAAAAGCCAATAACCCTTTCAACGTTACTTGAACAGAGTGTGAAAATAACACCGAAACTCAGTAGCAGCTTCTATACTAGCTGGGAAACCACAGTTAGAGCGCGGCTTGTCCAAAAAGACTAATGTAGCTGAAGTGACTTCACAGTACTGTTATCAAGGTGCTTCTTCAGGTATTCACGTACCGTAACCAAACAATGTGCTATACTGAGGTGGGAATGTAGTGAAGATACAGGACCTACCAGCAATTTATGGAGTACCTTCCACTTAGTTCAACTCGCATTCTGTGATGTACCTTGTCCGTATTTTCCATGAGTTACGATGTAAGAGTCGGATGATCAGTCGTGGAAAAAAGGCTTTACTTGCCACATTACGTCTCCTAACAGCACAAAATTAGTAGGATGAACGTTGTATGCGTCAACAAAGGCAAAGCAAATCGCACTGACGACGTTGTAAGACCTTGAGTTTGCGGACCTGTAGCCTACATCCGTCCTAAAGTCTTTCCTAAAATGAAGTCTAACACCCCCATCGTTGGTCGGGAGCCGCTAGGATAAGATTTTATCGTCGTTCCCCCAGTCGGCACCCAGAGACCATTTTAGATGGGTCGCATAGGGACCAGGTATTTGGCCAATCCTAGTATGACTGCTTCTTACTGTCCTTGTGCATCCGAAGATTAGAAGGTTCCGACATGCCTCAATCGGCTGAGCAACCTATGCAAAGGCGCACAGACGCAATAGTATTTTCGTACAGTTCTTCGAACTATATACCAACTTGTCAACCATTGTCAACACTTACTTGGCAGGTAAACAACCATCGTAACTAAATCTCTAAGATACCCGGACAGAACGCTAAAGACTTACCCGATTCTGGGTCAATGAACTTGTGACGGTAGAGAAAGTCCAAGACAACCATGGCAGAGTTTGCCTTGAATTGCTCACTGAGAATTAGTTCTTTAACCTGCAAAAGAGAACGACATCGAGAGGGACCGTCACGAGCTGCCTGTATTCTGGATATGGAAACTGAAAAACCTGACTTAACAGCAAACAGAATATCCGATGAATATAAACGAATATTTATCATTTTCACCAGTTTCGTCCTTATAAGGATCTTTACCCAAAAAGTACTTAGAAATAGAGGATTTCATTATTCCATTTGATTTCAGAATACGAAACCCCCAAACTAACGAAGTCCTTTCTTTATCACAGCGCTGCATAAGCGTGAACAAAACCATCGTATGTGTGGTTGAAGAACTCAACTGTGAATTTGACCTCATTCTGCTTGTTAGACAAAGCGAAACGGACTGAGCTTGAAACAAGGCAAGAAATAAATGATAGTTGCGGTTGACCTCGCTCATCGTTTTAAATTAAAATAGCCGAGACTGTCTGCTTAAGCAAGCATGACGAAAAGATTGCGGCTGCATACGTTGCTAAAGATTATTGGATGTAGAATAAACAGCAACAAAAACTCAGGGGATAGTTCACTCAAGAAAAAGCCAATTTCTGGAATTGGAAGATCCGATGATCACTTGCGCAACCCGAAGAACAACATAAGTTGTTTTGCACAGCATGAGAATTTCCTCGAAATACAGATACCGTAACTAGTAGGCACGTGTGGACTAAAACTATAGGGTTGGGTGGTGCTTACCCGAATAGATGCATCGATGAAAGCCCACCGAACATGCTCACCTGAGAAATGCTAACCAGCCGGAAGCTGTCAACTTCACCATCTGCACTAACCGGTACGAAATCACAGGGTAGCTCCAGATCAAAGCAATATTCAACTTGTGGACAAACACCACGGTCATCCTCAAAAATGTAGCTGAAAAAGGGGGCGAGCGGAAACAAAGGGAAGGTAGTGTATTCCAATGGTACAAGCTAAAATGAACTTCAACAAGGAGTTACAACCATCCCACACAAGCGTGCTGAGTAGATCTAGGTGCCGAATATATAGAATACAAGGTGGGGATCAAAACCTGGAACAGAACATAAAGAACCCAGCTGAACAAATACAAGTTGTCGGAATACGGAGGGACGGGGAATTGAGAAAACAGAGACTACTGAACTGTCAAGGAGACAAATCATATCGTGAATTGATATTCACTGACATTAGCAAGATAGTGGGGATTCACAAGCCAATGAGACTGAATATAATATCTCATTGGTTACGCTATAAATCTGGATTAAGCAAGTCAGCCAGTACTAGTAGTTAACGTCTTCGAAACCATCTCACCTAAAACTTTGGAATCCCCCAGGTCGAGGGTGGGACAGAGATAGTGAAGTCAACCTCGGACAAACGGTAATCAAGCCTAGGTTCATATACATTATAGAGGCAGAAGTGTCAGAGTTGACTCAGATTTGCCATATTCAACACCTAAAACATTTATCAGTTCCTTATAGTTGTCAGCGTATGAACCTCCCTTCCCGTTCTATCTGATTATACTTGAGTGGATCATAAAATCCAATACCACATTCAGTGGAATTAAGTATCACCATAAATAGCTGGTACACCCAACAAAACTTTCCCGATCTGGTGAGATTAGCTTGGTTGTAGGAGACCTCCGACCAATAATTACCCGGTGAAGTGCTTGTTGAAAAAAGTACAACCTCCAGTATGGGTGGAAAGTTACATGTATTACACCTGTTTTGTAGTATATTACGAATTCTGGACAATCTAACAGGTACCGGTTATATGTATAAGTGCATTGATGTATCTGGTGACAGCTGCCGGGTCTGAATGCAAGAGACCTGGCAGCCTCTTGAAAGATGCATTTTGTTCAAAACTTAAACGGACACGATCTTCCAAGAGATCGTAGGCGAAATAGACCACGACGGGTTAAGTGACATAACTGCCTGTTCATTTCAACCATAAGTGAAATATGCATCCGCTACGAGCAACAGAAAAATGTTGATAATGGACGTTATCCCAATTTTCGTTGTACCAGTGAGCCAAGCCTTCTACCAAGAAGGTGGACAGATCGCCGCCGACGTCAAACCACTCTTTTTCAAATGGACCCCCGAAAAACCCGTTATTGACATTTTTCACAAGGGGAGGTTTTGGGGGTGTCAGTATCCCCACAAACTGCTTATTTTCCGAGTTATTGCCAGTTTATTTTCAAAAAGTTTCGAATTTTTAAATTTCGCGCCTTTTCCGCAATGTTGCACCTCAATCCGTAAAGACCGCGCTCTTTTCCTATTGGCCAGCTATACTTTGTGTGCATTAACTGACTTTTCGCTCTCCAAGGTCGCTCGAAATATATATATATATATATATATATATATATATATATATATACGACGCTACCATTCTTAGTACTAACAGATGACCAGAGTGCAAAGAACCTCTACGGTTTAGGGACAGACCAGTTACACTCTAAGTCCACGCAAACGATGGAACAGATAATCGACCTTACACGGAGTAAATGTGCAAATTATTCAGTCTAAAATATGACAGTATCACCAGATGAACGCAAACACAGCCAGTCGTCTACTCTTCAGCTTGCTGACTGTAGAGATCAGGACAGAAAAACGGAGTGCAAGTCTATGTAATGGCAGCCAACAGGTACCATACACAATGCGCTAAAAACCACGTGTACTTAGCAGATTCAGACAAGGAACGTTGTGCCTGTTGACCTACATCGTAAAACAATAGAAGTGTTAACGAGGATCCATTCCGCTACTGACTTCAGTAATAGAAAGTCAAGCGTATGATAGCTTAATTTCGTCTCGAATCACCAAAAGAATGAAAACGGAAATGGTACACTGAAATACGATTGAGTGACATGGAATGAATATTGGGTGTGGCCCGATCGTTTCGCTCCAACAGAGCTACCACAAGGTTCGCAGTTTATCAAACTGCACAGCTAATAGGTAGAGAGCATCCTGTCTGTCCCTAGACATACAGTGTTCAGGTGGTGAAAGTATATTCACCACAAAATATGTTGTCTTTTCTCAAACTAAGTGCCACACATTTATTAGATCACAAGAGACCGGCTGTAAAAAACAACCAAGACTTCAAGCAATGGGTGGTAGAAAAACGTAATCTTTTCCTCAATCAAATAGACCTGGAGTGCTCACAATACATTTTGGCTTCATCTGCGCTTGGATTCTACAACGGATCCAGTGAAATGTTTCCTTCCTGGATATCGATCCACACAGAGCCCCAGATGGCTCAGTTATTAAGGTGCGAACTTACTGACAAGAAGGTTTACAGTTCGAACACAACCGCCATCGACCAACATGGATTAAAGAACGCATCATAAACGACAACGGTACACACAGTAGCTACCATACAGTCATGAAAAAATACGATACGCCAAGAGGAAAAGGGGAAGGACGGATTTCAATACAAAACGGTCACGACACTCCATGGATGACAGTCAGGAGTACGATGCTTGCATCAGATAGACAACTTTACAATGGGTCATAATGGGAAGGAGTTGGAAGGACAGTTTCCTCGCAACGATCACGGTCTTAGGGTCATTCCGAAATTGTCAACATCATTTACTTTGATCCGGTAATATAAGAAGAAACTTGGAATGCATGCGATGCGCCTTAAGCAACCCATGGGCCATTCAGAGATCAAAAACTCCGGGACCAATAAGTTAAGAGCTAGAGTGACATCAGAAGAAAGACTGAGTTAGTATTGCACTTACCTTAAGCGACTCACTGGAGTCAACGGTCCCAGCAGTGCTTCAGGCACACTTGCTTCTTCCTGGCATTCCTTACGTGCACACTCCATTGGATCTAACCCAAAGGTTAACCCTCCAGCTGCCTAGAAAGATAGGTATAATAACAACAAGGGTACGAAAATCAGTATACTTCAGGTATCACAAATGGTAGCAAACACGTCTAGATTACACCGAAAATACCTACTCGACTTTGCAGGGACTATCCAAAACAAACAGCGTCACGCTGTCGTAAGAAAAAACAATCTAGATACTGCATGAATGCTTGAAACAAGGACAAGGATCCTCAAAAATCAACTGTTACATCAAAATGACCTAAAACAAACTTACCAAACTCTTGTGCCACAAGTCATTTTAATGAAATTTGTCTCCAGTGCGGAGGCAATCTTGACTACGTAGCGTCATGCTAGGCTGTCGTACGTCCGGAGAGGGTCGCTCATTTACGTGGATAAAGGGGTCACCTTGCAACCTACTCGTTTGTAGAAATCAGATAGGAACTTTCTTATAAATAATCGGTGATGAGGACGCGACGGTCAAGAAACAATTGGGAAACACAGTTGGCTGTTGAAAAAAGATTGCGTACTAAGTTGTGAGTCGTATTTTTCCTGATGATTTCGGAATTAGAAAGTTAAAAGAGAGGTAAGCTGTGATGTCCTATAATACTGCCAACTTCACCTGGGATCGCAATAAATTTGACAACAGGTGAGCATCACATAGAGCTAGAACGCCTTTGGGGACTGAAAATAGGTATAGATGGCTAACAGACAAAATGGAAGCCGCCATACTAATCCATTGTTTCGACTGTCCGTTTGCGCGTTAAAACACGCGAAAACTTTCCTAAGCGTGAGAGGCAGATTCTGTCAGACAGCTGACGTTTGTCAGTTTCATGAATCAAAGGTACTACATGTTCTGCGACAAAAACGAAGCTGCCATTCGAAGTGCTTTGTGAAGTCAGCAAACAGAACTCTCCGGTAATACAAATCAGTCAATAGCTCACAAATCCTGAGTAATCAATTCAGACTTGGTACGATTGCTGCACGATTCACTGAAAACAGACAGGTAGGGAGAGCTGAACGCACCATATTGTCCAACATTCCAGGCCACGTGGGTTTGCTGGAAGAACGGACACCCAGCCACATCATCACACGCGAAGCATCTATTTGGCCAAAACTGTCTTTCAACTGCAGCTTCTCATGTGTGGATATCTGATCGATACCATTCACTGTTTCCGGAAGTACAACGAATCCGTTTATATGACAACCGTAACGTGTTATCCCCAGAAGCGCAGAAGCTGAGCGTTCAATGCAGAAAAGGGTCTTTCCACGATTGTGCGCATAAACTCCATAATCCTGTACAAATACAAAAAGGTAAGTGTTGTCGAAATTTTGCTTCACGGGTAAATGAGAAAAGTTGCAGCCTGGACATCGAACAACATTTCCACGACGGAGTGACTATAAACAATTGCTTCTCAACTTTGACAGATTTTTACGGTAAAACCACAGGGCAGCAGGGAAGACTGCAAAACTAGATATCACGATGAATGAACTTCAAAAGTGATGAAACATAAACAAGATGGTCTCAAGCTCCATAGGCAAACTACTAAACTATGGTGTAGAGGACTGTTATAACTAGAAAACCTATCAGGAACGTCGGGCGGTATCGACGCTTTACTAACCAACAAAGACGGCCAAATCCATGGAATAAAGAGAAGTTGGTATCTGAACAGTTCTTATGCAGGTGAAGAACCACCTTAACGCTATGCACCGTTACATGGGCAATAAAACGAAACTAAACTAAACTAAACCACGTACCAAAAGTAAAGTCGGCCCCACTCAATCCAACCTACTGAGCTACAGCACCCTTTTAGCGCATCGATACCAAGCTACCTTCACGAAGCACAACGGCCAAGATATAGCCCAGTCACCCAAGTCAAGAGAGAAAATGGAAGCCTGGAGTTGATTCAAATCAAGAATTCAGTGTCAGTAGCTCACGCTCTAACTTCTGACAGTTGTTCAGTGTCTTAGTTCCACTTATTGAGCTTTTGTCCAAGAAACGAAGTATGGTGAAGCAGAATGAATCAGTGTTCATGCCTCAAAGATATACCACTTTCAGGGTGAAATGCACACTCGGAAAATTGGTGCAGACCAAAAAGTGTCAAACTCTCGATCGAGTACGATCCGATCAAACTGCATCAGTTTTACTGGCCATGACAAGTAACTTACATGGGCAAGATGTTCTGAAGCAGTGTAACAGGTTATGAATTGGGCTGTTACCACAAATGGGTGTGTACCTAACAGCACACGGATTCAAGTTACGCAACCCAATGTGTGTGGGAGTTATGTGAATTGCGGGAGGAGAGTGAGCCCTATGTTGCCTTCAGCAATTCTATAAGATGAATCAGTACAAGCAGACCTACCGCGACATCGTTCCGACTGCCACTTTTCGGTGATATACGAGGCAGTTTACAGGCCGTTTAAAAGCTTACAGTAGTTTGGTAAAGACAGACGGAAAAATGAGCATCCTTTTAGCTTCTGAACAAATGAAATTATAACCAAAATGCAGCCAGAAGCTATAGAACCACTTACTTCGTTCCTCCATCCTTTCAAAGCTGGAACAGTGCCGGTCGAACGGAGATCTAGCATGGCATCAGAAACGGCATTTGTGCGCTCATATGGAGTGTTAAGAGAAGGATGAAGAGTAATGCACCGTTCCCCGGTGATTGGATCTGAGGTCCACACGAAGACCTCAGGGTACGACAACAAAGTACTTAGAGCGTCATGTCGAATGAGGCCCAGAAAGAATCCATCGACGACAAACTTGAAGCAAGACGAACGAGAAGAGCCTGAGGGTGAAAACCAAAAGGAAATAATGACGGTATATGGGGACGAGTGAAGCATGCACTTACAAACACGAATAACAAACATCACCGACAGCATGACATCAGTATTCAACACCGATGCCTCGCGGCCGTACAACCATGATTTATTTAAGTTTTATTGTAAAGAAGAGAATAAAGGTGGACGAGGAGGGACTTGGCGCTAGCTTCCTACAATCATTCCGAGATGCCTACACCTCCAGACACTAGTTCAGGCAACCTGGATAGAAATTAACAGCAAGATCGCCACTGACACCGGTTGGTAGCCATATCTTGCAGTGTCTTCAACCAGACGCAGTGGGGATAACGCGATCCCCATCCTGGAAGGCGAGGAGCACCGACACCACCCACACGTTTCGTGATTTCTTTCATACCCCTCTGCCAGGTCGAGGGTTGGCTACCTCTTTCCTTTCGCCACTCTGAATTGGGCACGTAAAACAACACTCTCTTCGGTAGACGGTTGCCAGACATACACAACACATCTTCCAACCAACGCAGCTTTGGTACTGGACACATTCTTCAATGGAAGTACCCGTTGCACAACTGAAAACTCGCTTTCTAGCTGTCTTATTACGGATTCGCCGACACCAACCCACACGAGGCAACGATTGTCCAACACTTGAAGACGTCTCACTTCCGCTGCTCGAATAGGTCAAGTCTCACAGCCATACAACAAAACAGCCCGTGCTGTAGCTTGATACACATGTCCCTTGGGATTGAGAGATAGACCACTCTGACGCCATAGGTGTCTCAAATTAGCAAACACGACCAGCGCCTTGCAGATTCGTGCATTCACCTCATCCGTCACACTAAAATCAGAACTAATACAACTTCGAAGAGCTTCACAAATTCGAGTGCTTCCCCCTGGATTGTAAGTTGCATACCAAAGGACGGGATGACTTTGGTCAGTTCATCCAAGAACTCACGCGCCTTCTCCTTCTCTTTGAAAATGGAAACGATGTCGTCTGAATATTCCAGATCGACAAGGCTTTCGTCACAGGCTATTTGAACACCAGGGTTTTGGAGATTTTCCAGCGTTCGTCTCGTGATTTCATCGACCATGAAGTTAAACAGGAATGGAGAGAGTGGGCATCCCTGACGGACACCGCTTTGTGTGCGGAAGCTTTTGGAGAGCTCTCCGTACACTCTCACACGTCCGGAAGTCTGAGACTACAAAGAGCTTGTTATGTTCATGAACTTCCGGGGCATACCTTGGTGGACAAGCATCTCGGGAACACACCGGTCAACCGAGTAGAATGCACCTTGGAAATCCAGGAATACTAGAATTGTGGGTCGCTTATACGTGTGGCGTTATTCCAACACCTGACGGAGTGTGTAGATTTGGTCAACACAACCCCTACCAAGCAGGCATCTCGCCTGACGCTCTCGGGTCAGTATTCCACGGGCCCCCGTAAGGCGACGAAGCACAAGAGACGCCCACAAGCTCGTTACGACCGGTGTAAAGCGGATCCCCCTATGGTTACCAAACTCATTATGAGCCCCTTTTTTTGAAAATTGGCACTGTAACCGACTTTCCAGTCTCCTTTTCCCAAATACAAGGAAACAGAACACACGAGCGCTGATTGAGGACTTCACCCCCATCTTTGAACAATGCGGGTGGGACGTCATTCGGAACAGAGGCTCAGTGGCGCTTGAGAGAACATATGCAGTTGTAAACCTCCGAGGCCGTACGCCGTTCCAAGCTCACCGTCCAGGGTCCTCAGCTTCTCAGACAGGTTTGTGGACGGCGAGATGGCCGAAGTGGTTAGAGCGCGAATTTACTGACCGGAAGGTTCGTGGTTCGAATCCGACATCCACCACTCGACTTCCCCTGTCTAGGCTTGGGCAACCTGCAAGTATCCCAGCCCTTGTGCTTCCTTCGGATGGCATGGCAGCTAGGCACCGGAAGGGTGCTACAGCTGAAAGCTTTTTTGTGGATGAATAACCGCCCCATATATATAACGTTATAGAGAACTGATGAGAGGATTGGTGTCAAACCAATCATGGAGTAGCTAGGAAAAATCGTATTTAATGAGGAAACAGGTTGTTCCTGTGTACATTTGGGTAATACGGTACTTTGTTTGTCTCGTGTTCACTGTTTCAGAGTTAGTAAAGGTAGCTGAGAAAGTGAGATCCTGAACCCTCCAACCATCGGCTTCGATTCAGATTTAGTGTCCCCAACAATCATCATCAGAATCACCAGGGGTAGCAACACCCACAAAGAACACTGGTGGTTCACTGCTACGGACTAACCTACCGTGAACATACCTTCAACACTGTCAAACAATATGGATAGCAACTGACAGTATGAACGCTACTGATATGGGCTACCAAGTAAGTCCTCGTGTTCTGCAGTGTTGTGTCCAAGTTCTGCTGGAAGGCCAGGTAAGGAGGCTGAGTTTGTGTCCAGGCTTCTTGTACCTGGTAAAGACAGTGTTTTTAAAACTTGCTCACGTTGTGGAGCGGCGAATGGTTTGTCTTTCAGAGGACTGGTGAAGCCAACACAACGTCAGATGTCGCTCCTCGTTTTCCGAACGAGGACCTTTTAGGTCAGAAAGGATATTGAGATACGTCGTAGCTGTTCCTAGATGGTAAATCACAATATTCAGGTCTCAAGCTGGAAAGAAGCCTGATGTGGGAGATTTTTTAAGCAAGCTGTGAAAACATCACCTTCAACAGTATCCGGATTACATGTGGTTGATACATGTAGACACCGCAAATAGAAACCGTTTATTACTCTACCACCTTTCACCCTTAAGTCGTACCGCAGAACGGACTGTCATTGAAAATCCCATCCGACAGTGTTGTCTAGAATTGTACCAACACCTGCCTGACCGGACGGAGATGGGTCTGAATCCCCAAAGGGACATACATGCAGATGCTTCTGTGGATCAGACGGAGAACTCACCTGGATAACGCTTGTACGGTCCTAAATCCGCGACGTTTGGAGAAAATAAACGCCAATATCTAAGGATTCCAGAGTTGGTGCTGGAGTATTTCAATGAGCACTATTCATTAGGGTTTTTACATTAGGTGTACATGACTTAAGTGATGTACATGAATGAATGAAAGTAATAGACAGTGTGCTGACAACAGAATCAGATAAAGTGTAGGTCCTGATGAGCATAAAAAGCAGGAACACATAGTGAGTGACTGGTCTGGGTAGAAAATAGTAATACCTAAGGGATAGGACTGTGCAAGCAAGAAACAGCGTTGGAGTAGGATGAGTGAGAACAAACGGATGTAGAAGCGCTGTTTGTGTTCAGAAGCTGTTTGAAGTTAAGAAACCTCCAGAGCTCGGATGCTGAAGCAGAAGGGAACTAATGAAGTGGCGTCAAGATAAGATTACTCCTATCAAATATAGGCTCTTTGTAGCTCATCAATCCAGTATTGGTTCCAACTTGGCTTAATGAAAGGAACAAAGGGTGACCACATGAAACGAAAAGATACCAAGAAAAATGCAATAATTTAGGGCGAATGTGCATTGACCTCAGCAAAAGTGTTGAGAAGTTCGTAGCACAAAAACGAACGATGCAGAAAACTTCTAACATTGTAATCAGGTTCTCTGTGTAGTGTAGCTGTATGAACGGGTTCCTATTGAAGCCGGTAGGCTTCATATGAACTAGATGTATAACATAAACAGTCACTTCTATTACCTAGAGTCCGCTTACCTGGGAGAAGGAAATTATTACAGCGTTGCGAAACCAATGTCCAAAGACGTGGTAACGACAGGCAGGCCATATAACCTGGGCACAAGTAGGAAGAATATAGTGAAACATAAACGATTGAAAATGAGGTACATATTAGAAGAGGATACTCCTCGGGAGTTCAAAACACATGCCTAAATAGATACATGCATACATATACAAAAGGTGCGTGCAGTGCGAACGAACGGGGGAACGCCTCAACTACGCAATGACCAGCTACGCTGCAATCAACTGAACAAAATTCATGGAAATAATAGTAACCATTAGGATGGTTGAAAATTTGAAATATTCCCTTTATCTTTCTCGATAGGATTTTCGACGAATGAACTATATACACCACGGAATGAAACAAACATGTACTGAGACAGCCTCCGAACTTCCAACCACCCATTTGATATAGTCCTCGAGACATCCTAAATTTATGCCGCAAATTAAGTGACCACTTCAGAGAGAAAGAGTAAAATAAACAAATAAAGGTTTTCCATGTCTGACGTCAGTTGTCAAAAAACAGGACGTTGGTAGTAACAGCACACTAGCGTCGAGTTATCGACGGTAACTGCAGAATGCTACTAGATTTACGTGCGATTTCCTGTCACTTGATTGCATCCGTCACCCAGAGTCACAAATGGGACCAGGAACGAAAAAATCGGAGATATACTTGCCAAACGACATGCCGATACATGTTTTTCTCGACGGAGGTCTAGTTTTTCTTAAGTGTAGTCTGTGTAAAGCTTGAACCCTAGTCACCAACATCTACCATCCAGGTAGTAAAACTCAACACAAATCCCCTTTTAGGGTCCACACATATCCCCATAAACAGATTCACTCCCCTTTGAAGTGATTTCTTGGTTTGTACAAAGCTGTTACGACCCATGCTGTCGACCAGGAAAGCAACACCAATCAGCTTACATGAATCTTATATAATTCAATACTCGAAACCCTTGATTTGGGACGCCGGCCAACTACTAATCAGGCTACAAAGGTTGATCCCTAGTACGGTGTCAAAAAAGTAAGGCACGCGAAATGCTTAATTCAATTTGTAACGGAAAATAGACCCATAATGTTTTCTGCATCATGGCTTCATACTATTCCCCCGGTGACAAACGGATTCCCAGATCTGATTATTTCACTTTTACCTAGCAGGAGTTCTAGTGGGATTCTCCACTTGGTGAGATTTTCTACACCACGTGATAGCGAAATCGGAATCGTTCAGGCGTAGCACCCTTTCGGTGCCTAACTCCCATGCCACCAGAAGAAGCACGGGGCCTGGGATACTGCCAGGTTGCGCAAGTTTAGACAGAGAAAGTCGAGAGGCGGAGGTCGTGTTCGAACCACAGACCTACCGGTAAGTAAATTCAAGCTCTAACCACTGAGTCATTTCGGAACTGCGCCAACAAGACGCCCAGATAGACCTTTTCGCAAATACTTAGAAACAATAGCAGGAGTTATTTGAAATGTGCGGCCATAAGTGAGTTGCAATAATAAGGCCCACAGGTGACTGCGCATTTACGGCTTTTTCGAGCGAAGATCAGAAATCTTGGAAATAAAATTGAATTCCAAATGCGTGAAAACCTAGACTATCGGCAAAACTGCTGAAACCAAGTGCACCCTACTAATATTGAGAACAGCTTGAAGCATTGACAAAGACGAGACAGGGCTGCAACTACATGAACCTGCTTTTAACCTTCTTGAGGTCACAGAAAAATTGTCTGCATTTGAGAATACTTAGCTCTGAGATGAGTAAATTTTCAGCGCATAGCGCGTTGATAAGCATCACAATGTATGTGCGAATCCATGTGAGCGAACATTCATCCATACAGTAAGCCATAATAGGACAAGTAAGTTAGCGAAATGGGGCTGCAATAAGGGGTGGTCCTGGATATCACTGTGCCGCCGTAGCCCGTGGCGTATGCATCATTAAACCTCGGGTTAGCAACGCTGAAGTGTGCCGAATACTTTTTGAAAAAAGATACTAAATGATTATCCAAATGATGGCTTTATCCGTCCGCAAGGAACACCCTAGCTGAGTAATGTACTTCGTGCGCCAGGTGATCAATTGCTCGACAGTACCCTTCTCTGACGCAAGATCCGTTTGAACTACACATGATCTGGAGACAAAGCTGCACTGGTGCACGTTACATCGATGGACGTAGAACCCGAAACGGCAACGCCACGCAACCAGTGGCGCTTTTGTAACTACTATCTATTTGTAATCATTAGCTGATTGCTACGCATCCACGATCCCTTGGTTTACCCTCTCCAGGGCCCTATGTAACAATCCGAACCACCGTACATGCGTACATGGTGGTTGTGAAATGGAAGCAAACTGAACTTACTCCCTTTGGGTTCAGAGGATACGAGAAGTCCCACCCAGGACGAATAGGTTATTAATGGGTGTTTGAAAAACCGAACCTGAAAATGGATCAACAATCACCGAAACTCAGCTTCACGGCACAACGATATACTGCAGAATCAAACAGAATCGCGCACTGAGTTGTTAGTACCTAAGATTTATATGATATTCTACCTAGCAGTAGGTAGGCACCGTAATTAATGCCGGGTGGTAGGCCTCTGCACCACTGTACACGGTAAACTAAGGGTAGCAACTACACAAGTTCCGTTGAGCGAAAACTGAATTGTTATTACCTCTGTGCCATTTCGAAAACCGTTTTCAATTAATTACAATCGTCCTCCGTTGGCTCCCAACAAGGCAGTTACGGTGAACTAACGGTATCTAATGAGGCGGCAGCGATCTTTACTCATTTGTGCCTTTATCTGTTATCACCCTGTTTAGCGTTCTCAACAAACTTCGGTGCTTATGAAGTTTTAAGTAGCCAACGATTAGCTACAGTGTGTATGGTGACGCGTGGACATCGAAGTTATGAACCTGTTTCGAAAAACTTACACAGAACGGCTCGTTACTTCCGTTGGTTGCACCGGACATGTACTAGTGCTTACCAAACCGTACACACCTTTGGTACCGAAACAACTTTCCAGATATATGGCTATAGACCACTTAGAAGGAAGAGTCTGCGAGTGGGTGCGTGTAGCGGCCAACCGAACATAACCTGGCACTTTTACGAGCAGAAAGCCAGTACGGAACGATGGATGAGGGTCACCGATCAATTAATTGCATCCTGCCACGAATCAGGACCATGCTGTCCACGTTCTTTTAGTCTCAAAGTGATGCCCCGGGTAGAAGTTCGAAGCCAATGTGTTGGACACGCTGAAATACCTTCAGAACGTTACCAACAAGAACCTTAAACTAAAGACGCCATTAGAAGAAAATTCTCCATACATACCTACACGTCTTGAAATACTGAAATGCAGATATCTAGGAATATTCACAAATGTCCTTTGAACCCCGTTTACCACATAATTCTGTCAACGGTATGGGGAACAACTTTGGTATCCAAGATGACGAAAAGAGTTCGCCTTCTGCATATGCGGCGCAGCTCCCAATGTCGTAAGGGAAATGGGTGATCAAAAGAACTTATTTATAACGGGATCCGTAGAGCGGCAGAACTGCAGAACAAAACACGGATGTTGATATAAGACATGTAGAGCTCGGAACAGCTGCACTGTCAGAGTGCGGCAACCCGAAAAGGGAGGTCGGCCATCGATCAAACCGCCATTAGAAAGCGACTCAAATCTATCAATGTGTCATTATGCCTCTTCGCGGACAACTTACTTTGGTGATTTCGAAAATCGTGTTAGTAGAAGTTGAGAATGATGGGAGAGAACAATGAAATAAGAGTCACTAAGCTGCGGCACCTTTCTAGTGCAGTGCTCCTATGCAACCCGAAGATAGTAAAGTAGTAAAACTTAACATTTCTATCACAAAAACATTATCCTAATGATGAGTTAAAGAAGCGTTCTTATCAAAGGCTCGGGTTCTGAATGAGTGTGTCGCCGAAGATATGGCGGCCAACGGGAATAGAAAACGACAGGTAATTCACTAGATTTTTGACACAGCAAGGGCCTGGAGACAAATTAGTTCCGCTGTCCACGGAGGCCGCGTCTCTTAGCCATACAGTGAAACAGTCCATAACGTGGCCTGATACACAAGTTCCTTGAGATTCAGGAATATACCACTTGTTGCCATTGATGCTTCAAATTAGGAAAGGCTACCCATGAGTGAGAGTCGTACACTGACCACAGTAGTCACGCTACAACTGGGACTAGCGCAGCTTCTAATATAAATAAACCACTCCGCAACTTCATGTGTACTTCCTTGGATTGTAAGCGGTGTGATGACTTTGGCCAGTCCAAAAGAAAACACCTGTCTTTTTGGACTCAACGGCAATGCGTGCTTTTTATTGAAGATGGTCGCTGGTCTCGGTCACAGGCGGTTTTCAGAGACTGCTTGCACAAGCGGTGGGTAAAGGCGTTGATACATTAGCAGAGACATTGGATACAAAAACACTGACACCAGGTCATACAGATTATACAGAAAATTTCAACGTAGGAAATATCAACAGACGATATCAGCCAATAAAGACTGCCTCTTTTATTCAGTGTATCACCTGTTTAGCTATCAGTAGTACCCTGCAAATGCATGTGCACTACGTCCGTCCCTGTTCGTCCCATAAAAGGAATATGGTTCACAAACAACACATACATAGCACCAAAGTGAACCGTTTTCCATAAAGTTTTCCTATAGTATATGTTCATGGTAACTGTGATGCACGTGACCTCACGCGCCCATAGGAAGGAGGATAACTTGAGTCAAGGTTGATTTAACAAAAAATCTAACTTTACACTGCAGTAATTTCTAAAGGGTTTTTGGCACATGCCTAACACAATGAAACATGTTAAACTTGTTTGGACACCACGCGTCTAACGGGGTAAAAGTAGAGGGTTTTCGAACCGTCCTCGAGTCCCTCCAGGGCTTAGGTATACTAGGATAGCATGTGTCCGGTAGACGGTGAGCTAACGAGCTGTCCAGTAGCCTGTGTAGCATCCTTGTGTCGGAAGCCACAGGTTTGAAATCCGGTGGGATATGGCTTAAGAATTTAGCACTTCTGCTATCTACTATGATAGTGAATGTGGACAGACCTGAAGGTTTGCACTTTGTATATCTTCATATTAGACTTGAAGTACTAGATCATCTAGATAATTCAGGATATCAAAAATTCACTCCTGAATTTGCAGTTCCGGTTTAGTTCACAAGTATCTGCGGACTCACAATTTACACCGAATATTAGGCTACCTCAGATGTGCGGTGACGTTGGTGCAATGTCTGTCCTTCACATCCGTGCTATCTGCTTGCAATGCTCTTGAGCATTCACTAAACGTTTATTCGCATCAACAATATATATGTACGAATCTATGCCTTGTTCACTTCCACGTCGTTAGACCTACTATTGCCAGCGCTCTCTTCACATAACTTTGGTTTCAATCGTCCACAGTGTACTTACAGGTTTTGCTCCCTAACAATCCTTCATCTCCACACCTTCTAATGGACCGAATTAGACTACTAAAGAGGTTGAACATGGACCATTTCGATGGTGGGGTCCAACCTCACCCTCGGTTTCAGCTTCTATCCCGTGAATTATTATTCTTCTAGTCCCATGTTAGCGATAGTTGAAAGTGGTCTGTCGGCGTCCGCTATGTCATTACGACTAAAACATGATTATGATTCACCATAAGTAGAGTGCCGTTATGCTACTGTTCCACATTCAACGACATACTGCTTCACTTGAATAGGTATAGAAATTGATGTAACGTACCAACAGCGGATGAAACGCTTTTACCCTCTTCTCCTTCAACGAAGAACCACAAAACCAAACTGCGGGCAACTGAAGCAGACTCAGGTGAGCAAGCGATGGCCAATATGTCGCCGGAAAAACGATAACTGGTATTGAACGGTCAATATCTGCGTCAAGGTCGACCTCCTTGAATAGCTTAAACACTTCCGTGATTCAGCGATCCAGTGATTAGTACAAGGGTGAGAGCCAATTATTTCAAGATCCCCCAATTGAACGGAATGATTGCCGTCTTCTTGAAACAATGTCCAGTTATACTTCAAAAAGATAACAAAAGAAAATGGGCCGGTATTACGTAAGGCGCTCAGTATTCCCACATTAGGATTCAATTTTCGAAAGCGACGGTATGCCCCCGATGGACCAAAAGAGGCAGTCAATCAAGTTCGGAGTAGGAGTCTGAAAGTTTCAGCCATATCTGGGCGCCAAGGGTCTCATCAGTGTTGGGAACGTATTCCACCAGACTTTCCACCAGTGGTACGATTGCTACAATGAACAATGGAATTTTACGACCTGCAAAAACGTGAAGTTAGATAAGAATGAATTTTGGCATGAGCAAAAATACAACAAAGTGTAACATTTTAGCCTGACAAGTTTTGTTTTATTTGCGAAGGTTTTGCAGCTATGATCACTGTGGGAACAATGGGCCTAATTTCGTAAAATGCGAACCGCAGTAAATCAGACATCCTCCAATTTAACACAAGCCATGATTCTAGAGCTCTCTCGTGTGGCATTCTCTACCTTTTTTGCTTCCAGTATAGCACTACGTATTTCAGCAATTGCATAATCGTTTTTTTGCTTGAATATGAAAAACTAAAAAAACGCGCACTTGCATAATTACACAGATCACAAGCGTGGTCACGTGCTTCGACTCCCTCTTCTGATTTCGCTCGCGCTTGCATCGGTCATTCGCGAGTCTCATGTGCTAACTCTGATATCAAAACATTCCAGACCATCTTCGGAATCTATTATATGTGGGAACTGTTCAGAACAAGACCCCTGGACCACCATAATTGGATTATTGTTTATTCGCTGGCTTGGGCCAACGACGAACTATTTAAAGGAGAACAATCGTTAGTGAGTCTGTTCCACCTGACCTCTTTATTATTGCATACTCAACCCAGCGTCATCATTTTTATTTCTTTGCTACACACTCCTGAAAATTAGAAACGTGCTGTTTATTTGCACGATGCACCAACGAAGATGAGTCAACCATCTTATTTTCAGGGGCAGTACCTGGGAACTCGCGAGTGACCAAATGGTTGTGTCTGAAACCTACAAGACCATTCATGCTTGTATTCTACCTCAGATACCTCGAGCAACTCACTAGCAGCCTAACTGACTTGGTCTTTACGGAGAAAGATGTTTGTCAACTGTTACACAAGACAACCCTTTAGGTCCACACAACGTCCATCCAACGACCTCGAGGGAAACGTCGCTCATGCTGGCATAGCACTTCAAACCGGTGTTTCGCCAGTTAGTCGAGAATGGAAACATTTCGTCTGCATTGAAAAATGCGATTATTACACCTATACGCAAAAGTGAGGACCACGTCGCTCCAGGCAGCTACAGGCCTATTTGGTTTCACTAACATACCGTGCAAGGCGATGAAGCGCACTCAGAAGCGGGCAGTATTAAAGTTCCAACAAATTGCTATTCCCACTGTAACCTGGATTGCCCAAAGACCGATATTGTGTTACGAATATATTTGTGCTTATGTGCGACTTAAGTAAGTCCAAAGACGAAATGGCTATGTCAAGTGTCACTTTTTGACTTCAAAGAAGCATTCTAACAAGCCCACACGTTGCGCCGCTCCACAGGCCCCTGTCTTATAGCATTTAAGGAGATATTTTGCGGTGTATTAAAGCGTTCCTGTCAAACAGAACACTGAGTGAAAGTAAGCTAAGCGCACTCTTCTTCGGCTCTGATCCCCTTTGTAGTTCTTCGAGGGTCTGTTCTTGGGCAACTTCTGTTTTTGATTTACGTGAGCCATCTTTCAGATGTTCTCCAAAGTCCATGTCTACTTTTTCTGAACAACTTAAAATCCTGATGTTTGGATGCCAGAACAGTCCAAATGGACGTGAACGCCGCAACTCAACCGTCGTTGGATTGGTATTTTTCTTTGAATAATGAAAAGTGCGCTCATACGTCATTCGTAAGAAACTCAGCGAACGCCCCTGTCGTGCAGGGTCAGAATAGATCAGATAAATTGCGGAGATAGGCTCTAAAAGTGACCTGAGAATGTGGCGCCCTTTAAATGTGCCCCCCTAACTGAATAATTAGAGGTCGCCCAAAAAGCTGTCTATCGTTCTGTGAACGATTGGACGCACCTTCCCCTGTATTACCCGCATGGAGCCTACGTCAGACCACTGCTTAAATATGCTCAGCAAGCTATATACCCTAGTTGAGCGTGTCAAACAAGCTGCTACAAAAACAGTTGCCGACCTCGCGCCTCACCTGAAGAGACGTCGCTCCGAGAAGACCTAATACTTAATTATACCCACTTGAACAAGATTCGGCCAAAAAGTTTCACACCATTGGCCCAACTAAAACACGGCGGGGATATGGTAAAGAGATCTTCATGCTCGAAGCGCACATCTTCGCTAGGCAACAATTTTTTCAGTTTCGGTTAATTGGTGCGTGGAATAATTTCCCGCCGGCGTTTGTTCACGCCCAATTGAGTACGCAGTTTAAGTCATTTTGGAGGCTTTTTCATGTCACTTCTAGTGCTTTCAAGCTAATAGCTCTGCACTGAGAAAAGCACTCTATCCTTTTTTGCTTGTGCATCTCAGATGAACGGAAGCCTCTGAATGCAAAACACCATGATACGGAAGGTCTGAGGAACTCCTTGACTTTCTGTACCACTCCATGAATCCCACTACAGGCTTCCATCATCCAGACGGAGCATGTTATTTCCAATTAGCTGTGGGCTTAAAGAATTTTTCGGTGACGGATATTTGCTTGCTTTTAGTAACAGCTAGCTTTTGTTTTCCTGCTAAGCAAAGTTTTTCAGTTGGTCCGCCATCAAGGAAATGTTGATTTTTTTCGTTTCCCCATACTATCTTGGGGTTTTCGGTTTATCTCTAGAGATTTATCGCTGAACGGTGTGTGTAACAGGCGAACGGCATTCTATGGTGACGCGTAATACCAGAACCTACGGAAAGGCAAAACGAAGTTGGAGCTGGGCTTCTATACGGTACTACGAATGTAAGACAACCTCACAAATTGTACGAACCTCAAGGGTAGATACTTGTCGAAAACAAATGGTCCGCATGGACTACAAAAGTACAAGCCACAGGAGCAAACAAGCTCTCACGTGAGACAGTCACACGTGCACAAAGTCGACTGCAAATGGCCGGATGACCTCAAGGCCAAATGAGCGGGGTGTTAAGAACGGTTCACACACGCAATAAACACAAAGGTGGGGGCGGAGGTTACAAATGGGGACGGGATAGGCGTGGGGAATTTCGAGTGTCAACGTAATGAACGATAGTGTTTTCACGAACTGTTTTTTTCTCATAGCCTTTCGCTGCGCTTTTTCGACCTGTCATATGTACACACACTAAGTTACAATGCACTTCGGACCAGATCCAAATATGAGTTGACACTATTAGGTATTCACACCATCTTATGAGGAAATTTCGTCTAACTGACAATCTAATGAGCCCCAATATCTGTTTAACGATTTATTCTTCTTCCTGCCCTGAGTGGCCAGTGAACTGCAGCCCATCATCTACCTCACCAAATAGTCTAGAGTTGAGTTTCGCGGTCAAAGGGCCACTCCTCCTTCAGTAGCGGTTGAGCTTATGTCGCGTTCGACTGCAACCTTTTTAGGGCCCATCGAATGTCTACACTTTACTTCTACCCTCATTGTGTACAGCGGGATTTAACGTTTTCTGTTTTTTCGGTTTTGTTTCTATAACGCCCTCCTTGTTTTCTTCCCAATACTAGTTGGCTTTACAATTGCACGCGTCGTTCAAATCAACACGTGGTTTTGACTATTGTGTAGACACGTTGCCTGGAGTACGTGTGGATTCATGGATTTCGTTGGTAATCGGTAGCTCCTAGAACTCAGAAGCCGGTGGAGTCCTCTGATTTGAGGTTTAGACGGCATTATCCTTTTGCTATTGCATTTATAGTACTTCAAAAGTGGGTTATTCTCTAACTGAACGATTTGTCCTCTGTTGTGTTGCGCGTAACGCAACTTAACCCAAATGGCTTCTTGAGAAGCCTCTGCCGTGCCCTCTTGGTCACCGGCCGGATAGTCTACTTTTCCGGAAGTTTCTTTAAAATCGGTGGGTACGAGTAACCTCAAGGCCTATACGTACAGTTTTGGGAAGCAAATCACTCCTATACTAAGGTTGGGGACAACAGTCTCCTATTGATTATGGTGCGTCGTTTGACGCCATACCTCTTGAGAGCGGTTTTTAACAACACTCTCATTTCAGATGTTCATCAGGGCGCAGAATCTTGGCAACAAGTCCTTTCTCCAAATTGTCCTTCAGCGAAGCTTTGGGTGTTTCTGTTCACATTTCTCAAAGTCCTTTCCTCTTCTTAGCAGGATTGTGTAATCCAGCAGCTCATCTTCTGCAACCTCTACCGTTCCCACTCTGTAACTGCTTCACCAGTTTACTTGTATCAGCTGTCAGCGTTATTGCATCGGTCACATTACCGCACACTATATACCCGGCGTTACTGGAGAAACCATAGGATCTAAACTATCAAATACCAAAACGTATACTTTCCTTTCTTTACATACTGGCATTCGGCCGGTGACGAGTGAAGTCATTTCACAACTCTACACAGCTCCTTATCTTGTGCATTTTTTTCAAAACCTCTGTTGTGACGCTTATGAATGCCCCACGCTCCAACTTACGATTTGTTCGTTACAGACTCGATATTCAGCCTCGTTTTCAGTGTACTCCCATGGTCCCTGAAAACTGCGCTACTCCCCCCCCCATCGGAACATTTTTTATATTGCACCAGTTCAGCATACCGACAACAAAGATTTTAGCTTGAAATGTTGTGAACTGTCCGTCTTATCCACGATCAAGATTGTCCTACTTACCAAATTTCTGTCATAATAACCCCTCTGGAATGGACTAAAATTTCAGCTTGTGATTGATTTGAGGATATATTTCCCTTCCCACTAATGAGTATTACCTACTGCCAAGGCCGCCATACATCCAGGTAGCTTTCATGTGCTTCACAAAATCTCGATTCTATTTGGTAATTTTTGAACCCCCACTTCCACTTGGAGCATGCAAAGCCGCTTGCCGCCATGATACTGGCTCTATTGTCTACTCAAACTCCAAACTGGCATCTCTTCGGGTATCCACTACCGATAGGCACCCCAGAATCTCTCAGGTGTTGTTTGCTGGCCGGTGGGATCGCATTTGATCAAATTTTACCGCTTCGAACGGCCACTGACATCCTAGTAAGAATCACCAAACTGCCGGTTGCATCCTGTTGGTTATACTGGTTTATATCGCTTTCCGCTCCCTTCGAGATGGCGCCCTGCCGGAAGGCCTGGAATAAGTGCGTTCTCCCACTTGACAGTTGAATTTTTACCAGAACCCACAACATCACTCTGTCGGAGCCACACCTAGCTTGTCTTCAAGGTCCTCTTGGCTGCCTCTGACGGTGAATCTGTGGGGTTGGTGGCATTTAGGAATAAGGCTTGTCGTCTTGTAACGTTTACTCTACTATACATTCTTCGTGAGTCATATCATCTTTGACTTCTTCTGGACTCTGCAATGAACCTACTGTGATGCCTTAGGTGTTTGCCGGCATTCTTCTATTTAACTCGCTCCGCCTTATGGAGAGCATATGCTTTTGATACTGATATACGCACTTTATTCCACATTAAGGAGCCGTTCTCTTTAACAAAGAGAAAGATCCATTATTCATAGACTTCTAGGGTTGTTCCTGTACACACCAACGGTGTTTTCCGGGTTACGATGCACTGGGGCGGAAAATAGCCCTCATAATCCCTCCACTGAGACATTTACTTTTAGATGATTCTCAAAAGCTACTTAACCGGGCGGCGTACAAACTGCAGCCGTTTAGTAAACCAGGAAAGCCGCCAAATGGTCATTGTCGTAGGAGTAAGTTTGCATATGCCAATACTCAAAGTCCGTAGCGGATGCCCGTTGTCGGAGTGTAAGCATAACGGGTTACATTCTAGGTAGTTGTATTGTGCGAATTTTGTTATGCTGAGATCTTTGTGACTTGCTGACTCATCTTGATGACCACTGATGTCAAAAGGAGCTTTTTACATCTATTTTTGTGATTACAAGCTTTGTCTAATCTGCAGTGAGAATCTACGGTTTTGTCCCAGGGTGAGAACGCACATGACCCAGCGTTGTCGGTGTGCAGTAATCGAGCCAACCAGAATGCACATAATGAACTGTAAAGCGGTTCACAAAATATCCGCGTTATAAATCAGCCTGGCTCATGCGCAGAAGCTCAACATAACGTGCCACAAGCCCAATGTGTGTTAGCATTTGTGAGAGGAATCCCTTGAAACCTCTGGTGTTTTTATACCAATGCTTTAAAGCACCAGTTTGGGGCAAAAAATTATCATAAGCACGTGGGCAGGAACGCTTTCCATTACCGTTACGGCCATTGATCCAACTTTTACTATAACCATCGCATATACATGTCGCATCAGTAGTAGCAATCACTTTTGTAAGTGTACATTTCCGCCGGTTGCGAAAGCACCGGTCTGTAAGTTAGCCTGGTGACAAGTATGCATACCTGCAGCATCAAGTTTTGTTGCTGAATCAGTGAGAAAATTGCGGGCTCCGAATTCTTCTTGTTATGGCACCACAAGAAACGTTTGCAGATGTTAAATTTTCTGCACGATAGTCTTAAAAGTTGCACAAGGAACGCATCGCCTGCACGCTTAGAAAAAGCTAGTCTTCTTCTGGATTCGGTGCTGTTGATGTACGCAGTATGTCGCGTGTAGCTTTCCGCACTCTCTGCTGAGTATTCCACTTTAGTTTGGATTCTGTTGTATGGCAATGAAAATGCAAAGACAAGAGTTTTCAGAAAATATCATTAGATAGCATTATTACGTCAAAAGCCAGGAGGTAGTTCCACCTGAAACTGGCTCCAGTTAAATTATCCTCGGAGTCAAAATAATTATTTTCTAACGGGCAAGCTCAAGTGGCCCACAATCATGGGATAGTGTCGCACCTTCGAGATGACCAAAAACCTTGTTCCTTGCTGCCTCACTAATGCCTTTGAGTTTCAGGGAAGTTGCTGACAAAGAAGACTATTCGGCGACTTACCGAGGGACAATTTTCGCAATTTCCGCCTTTAAAATCGGCACTAATATAGCAAACAGTGAGACCTTGTGAACCAAGCCGGAGCGGTCACAGTACTCCTGCAGTCTCGAAAGTTCTCGCGTTTCCTGGCTCTTTTCACTTTGCCTTGGGCAAAGTGATTTCACTTGTCGCGGGGCCACGAGATTTACCCACTTTTTACACTTGGAGCCAGCTTTGTACCACCCGGAGCCCAATATCCATATGTTTATGACATATAGTTAGGTAATTAATAAGTATACATCAGCGTCAAGGCCTTTCAGGTGAGAATGTCCCGGAACTCCCTGCAGACTTTCTATTATTCAACGAAATTTGTGGATAGTGACACAGCTACCGGTGGTTATAAATCACTCCTGCGAAGTAACAGCAAGTAACTGTCCTGAAATACATTGGCCTGCGGACCTGTCATATATAGTTTGTGTTACGCTTCCGCTGAGCAAGACTGTCGGAATCCATAGCGCCATTACTTGCATGCTCCTTTGTGCAACTAGTGTGTGCTAGTGGGTGTTTTTACAATAATTATGACGTTTATCCCGAACTTGTCGGTGGTATACCGTTAGGCTTGCTCATAATGTTGCAGTCAGAATAAAAACATGACTGGCGGTGATTGTGACCGCAGGATGGGTTCGGGAAAACGGACAGCGTCATAGAGGATGATCATTATCCGATGTAGCCGTGGTCGACACCAAACCGGCACGGGCACGGTGGCATAGCCACTATGGGTTTTTGAAGGAAATATCCAGCAAGATCGGGTCGTCACAGTTTGAAGGTGGCGGGCGGAAAACAAAACGAGGGGGCAAAACAACGGACACCCTTTTTGACACATGACAAGAAAAGTCAAGTCGGCGAAAAACGAGGAACCAGAACATTAGATATTGTGAAGCAGCAAAGTTAGCTCCATCCGGCTGGGCAAATTGAACCTAAAACCACCGCTTTAAACTCGTGGCTTTGTACTGTTGGGCTCATGGCCAGGAGTCTCGGAATCGTGGTGTACAGTGAAACTGTAGTGGCTCACTGGTGTTGCTATTGTGGAGTCAGGCATATTAGGTCTTTGAGAGGGTGATATGATGGCAATACACGAGCCGGAACACGAACTCCATGGAGAGCTATTGAGTTTCGTGGGAAGCACAGACACGCAGAAATGGTTAAATCGAAACGAACGTTTCTGAGGATTTGGATGAATATGTCCTAGACGCAGCCGGGGTCAGGCGGGAGGCTTGTTTGTATTTGCAGTTAATGGAACGATTTAAAAGAGGGTTTGGCCAAGAGAAGGAAGGGAATAGCTGCAGGCGTGCTATCAATCTGGATGTAGCAGTGCCGTGCCATCGTTGGCCTGACGTAGTCCGGTTGTTGGACAGCGTCGTAGCCGACGTCACATTTAAGGTCATTGGGTTGGGATGTGCGATTCTTTGCGTAGCGGAATTCTTTTCAGGCTGACCAAGGAAGCAAGGTAGAAGGCTACCCGAATAGGATCGCAGGCTTTTCGAGCCGTTTGGGGACATTGTGGATGTAGATCATAGAGTAGGTTTGATAACAGCCTAATAGGCCATCCAAACCGGGTATTACCGAAGTTCAAAGCTTGAAAAATGAGGGGATGGGATGATATTAGTAAAGCACGGTGACATCGCATGGGATAATGTGCGGTGTCGTACATATAAATAAAAAAAATGACGTTTACCGCGATTAGGGTGATGACAACAAGTGATTATATGAGATAGGATGGGATGGATTTGCACTCAGTGGACCAGCAATCGACTGTTGCTTTTACTAGCATACGTTATTAAAGTATAAGTTACCTAGCGCAACCCGATGTAAGCACACGGAGTGGTGGTATGATTAGATAAATCAAACGTGTAAGGGCTGATGGGAGTGAACTTCCGAGGTGATGAAGAAGTTAATCTGGTGTTTATCACACGAGTTGGGCAGTGCCGGGAGAGAAACTAAGTGTAAGAGTGATACCCATCGGTCCCCGAAGCACTGCTATTAGCTTCAAGTTAACAAGTTGTGCATGGCGGATAAAAAGCCTTTGTGCAATAGTCTTGAATGTTGGTAACGGAGGGATAGGAACCTCTGCATACATTTGTTTCTTATTGTATATGTCCACTCCTGGTAGCACAAGGTAGTATGTAGGTACGTGCGTTTTGTTTGTTTGACAAAGTATGTTTCGGTACGGTGCAACCGTAATTATGACAGGGGCAGCTACAGCCCTGCACGCCGATGTGAGCCACGGGTATCATAGAGTTTTCAGGCTTTCCCATCTGTTGTACAAATTTTTTCATTAAACAGACGAATACCAGTTTTTTTCTTTCTCCATCGTCTGTAGTTTATAGCTATGCCAATTAAGTGATGCAAGCAGGACGAGCCTAGTCTGGCAGCTACAAACAGAAAACATTGGTGCTCTTTTATTGATTTCCTGAATTATTGGTTATGTTCAGAACAACCGTCGATGAGCGAAGCGCCCGTGCTACTGGAGTGGCCGCGGGTATACAAAGGCGTCATGGTGCAACGCAGCGGGGCGGCCCCCTCTGCAGGACGTACAGACCAATACACGATGTTTCCGCCCCTTGTGTATATAGCCGGATGTGCAATTTGGTATGCAACCAGGCTTTTATAATTGCGGCTTGCGCATTAGGAAGGAACTCCAGCTAGCAGACATTTATCCGGTCTGGGGAAAGCCAGACCAGTAAAACAGCTCAGTCATTCCGAACAAGCGAACGATAAAGAGCCGCTGGATAAGGCATGTTGCGGAGATAAATGAAGCAACAGCTACCTTTGGGCTGGGTCCATTATGGCTAAGGCGCATCAGGTTGAAGCAAGGCCTCCTGCATCACTTAATCTACCGGCGGGCTTACATAGCTGACTGCTGCCCTGAATTTTCTTCCCGTATTCCCTATAATACCCGTAACTCAGGGTGTTTACTCTCACTGTCGACATGTCGAACTGTCTTTAGGCAAAACTTTTTCCTTTGCCTTTACTCTAAACTATGGAACAAGCTCCCCTCCCATATCCGTACTATCTCATCTCACGTTGGCTTTCGAAAGGCCACCGATTCTTACCTTTCTAATGAGGGTGCTGAGCGCCTTTTCGCGCCTCAGCTTACACTAGATACTTTTTTGAACTAGGCCCTAAGCCCTTCTAACCTGCGCACTCACTCTGACTGTCCTGTTATTATATCCCAGAACTTACACTTACCAGCCTCAAACCCTTAACACTAGTCCGCAAGTGCGACAACCCCCCTCCCAAGTGTTCTTATCTATACCCTGCCACTCTACCCCTTTCATACCCGTCTCCACTGACCTGGTTGCATATCCCTCCTCCGACCTTAAGTTTTTGTACCCAGCCCAATTATTCCTAGTTCTTCAAGCCTGGTCCCATCCCTGAGTAACTATGTCAGCTCTATTTAATGTCTGGTGCCTTGCTTTGACTGGATTTAAATAACCCCAACCAAACTAAAGCCCCAGTTCCACACTGTTCCCAACCATTCTGCATCCTCTGAATACGCGCAGCGCACGCATATCAAATGGTGGATCTGAAGATGCGCTATGAATGAAATACTTGTTTGGCCCCACAGCCCAATCACGCACACATACACATAGCACTGGTGCACCCCTACTTGACAGAGTGGTTCACACCAAGGCTTCGTTTTCGTTTAGCCATAGTACAGGCTCCGAACATCTCCATTCTACTCTCATTGCCCAAAAGGTAGTTGATGTTTCATTTGGTGCCGCGACTTGCTTCTTCCAGTGGCTGTTTGCTGTTTGCTTGTTCGAAGTGACTGAGCTGTTTTACTGGC